AAAAAACAAGAAGAATCGTCGCGCATTATCGAGTGTTTGCAAAAGAACGGTTATCGTGAGGATCTGTTAACCAAGCTATTCTCTAGCTTGAGAGTTCGTTGTTCCTTCAAATCCCAGGTCAAATCTCCCTACAACTACCACATCTCTATCGAATATCTTTATGATATACACATGTTTTCCATGCTCGAAACCATGTCAGATTCGTTAAAAAAAACACTATTCGTTGTCGAGCACTTCCTCTATTAATTTGTTTAGTTGTTCTTACTTGTATTTCATACGCGTAGCAAACACCTTTTTTGAAAATATTTATAAATAAGCGCACTTTTAATTACATAATTTTAAAATGCAATCTTCTCTTGAAAGACAATCTTCATTAGATGCCCTCTAACAGAAACCGAAAAGTTATAGTGGTTTAGGGAGAGTAAAAACACGAATTACCAAAGGCCTTTGATATTTCCCGATAAGAATAACCGATCACTGAGTATCTACAGGTTCTAATTAACAAAAATGTGAAGATTTTCATGAACAAGAAACATAAGCCTCTCGTGAAACAACATAAATTCATATTAAAAAACGATGATGTTATTGATAAAAATTCTGACTTATCATTATTAGAAATTTTACATCCAGCAAATTTTGAGAGCATTAGATTCATAAATCAATGTAAAACAGACTATCGTGAATGTAATATTTCTTTTTTAATTACCAATAAATTTTTTAATTAACCAATAAAAATTGAATTTAAATATCCAATAATTTTTTTAAAACTATATAAGCCTGTAAAATTTTACTATCTCAAAATAAAATTCACTTTGTTCTATTTTTTAACAGGTGAGAGAGTCATCACTGTGTCTTGCTGTTTATCATCCGATCATTCACATTTCACTAACTCTCATTTCTTCTCCACTGTATATTAAACAAATATGCACTATGTAATTTTCATCCCATGAAATAACCATAGAATGTTGCTTCAATTTTACTCAACTATAGAAGGTTATTATGCTGTTCGTAAAGGACGTGAACCCGGGATTTACACATCTTGGAAGGAATGTCAAGAGCAGGTAAACAGTTGCTCAGGTGCCTTGTTTAAGAAATTCTACATGAGGCAGCAAGCAGAGGATTATATCAAAACAGATAATTTTGATGACAATGTGATAAACATTTGACAGACGGGAGTTGTAATCATAATTTCAAAATAGTAAATGAAATGAAATCATATTCGAATATTTTGGCTTCTTATGTGGGTATTGGTGTGTTTTTTGATGACAATGATAAGAGAAATTTGTCAGAACGACTTCCCGGAATGCACAAACCAACAATCGTGCAGAGATTTATGCAGTCATATGTGTTCTAGGGTATGTGATAACAACATGAATGTTGCGATTAACACAGATAGCACATATGTGATAAATTCGTATCTTTCAGAATACCCAAAGATGAATGCAAATCTTGTTTTGCGAATGAATGATCTCATTAAAAATAGAGAAGGAAAAACATATTTTAAACATGTTAAAGCTCATAGTGGAGTGCATGGGAACGAGCAAGCGGACATGCTTGCATTCTTGGGTTCACAAAAAGAATATCGTGATTTAAACCTTGAACCAATTAAGGGAAAGATAGATTTGTATTTTAAAAAAGATAAGAAAGATGATTCTGAGAATGGAACGGATAGTTATCTTTTAGAATTTTTACGTATATTAAACCTATTGGAGCAAGATGCTGATAAGGAAAAATTAGTTATTCGAACCAGGAATAAGAATATTTACATGATGTTAGAAGAGAATCTAATTGAAAAGTGGTTGAAGAATGACTGGTGCAACGCGAATAAACAAAAGTTAAAAGCACCAAAGGATATCTGTTTGAGAATCAATGAGCTGGTAAAGATAGGAAGAATTCTTTAGAATTCATATATGTTGCAAAGAAAAAGAGAGTTTAAACTATGTATTTTATTTTACATTTATGTTCTATTTATTTTTTATTTTTTATAATTATTATCAAATAAAATATATATTTATCACAAAAAATAAATGTTTTTTCTAATTTACAACTGTGAACTGGCCTCCAGTTCACCAATAAACTTTGTGCGATCGATGAGCGTTACGTCGACGAAGGAGATGGCGTCGCTTGTCGATTACATCAAAGTTTAAGCAGCAAAAAAGGCCGTCTGACAAGACACAACACACCTATTCTATGGGCCATTTCATGTAGGGATGAAAATTGCATAGTGCATATTTGTTTAATATACAGTGGAGAAGAGTGTTATTTGCTCCCAGCGACCGGCTAGGGAGCAAATAAACACGCGTTGATCATTCACGGTGGCCAACCAGTCAATGATCAATGCAAAGTAGTTAAGGAAGATATTTAAATAGATTTCAAACTCAAACATAATAGAAAAACAGAAAATAAAACAGATATTTATTTATTTAATGTTTGTAAGATTTTATAGCGTCTAATAAAGCATTGAACAAATTATTTCTATGTTTGTTTCGCCAGATGAATTCTAGTAAGTATTTTTCAATCTTGTTCTGGTTTCTGTCTTGTTCCCTGATAAATAATTTCAACGCTGCCCAGGTTCCTTCTATGTGATTTGTGTGAATGCTTCCTCTATATTGTGGTGTTTGCGAGTGGTTAACCCTCTTATATATCATGCCTAATTCTTCGAGATGATAGTATCCTTTCCATGAATCTGTGTGAACTATTGATTCTGGTTTTACGTGTTTCTTGATGATTCTTTTGAGGGTTTGTTGATTTCTATTCTCTGTTACTACAAAAAAACATTTCTTCCTTTTGGTTCTTTCCACACCTCCAATTACCCAGAAATCCTTGTTCCTCTTGAACTTGCTCTCATCTATCTCCACGATGATATCCTTGCTACCGATAATTATGTCATCTTCCTCTAACGTGTTGATGACCAGATCTTTTAAAATTTTTTATATACTTGACTATGGTATGATGTGATTAGTTTGTTATAAGATCGATCGATGTGTAGTTTATCCTGTTCAACCACAGGTAACCTAATAATAAAATATCACAGATTTCCATCTTGCTTTTCTAGAAAAATAAATTTTTAACGATTGATATGGTTTTTCGACAGTTTTGATTCTTGCATCTATATATTTTATTAAATCTTAAAAATTCTTTATTGTTTCAATTTTGACATTTTTGGCTGTGAATGAGGTCTTTTTCCATGATAAATTTGATGCTTTCTTCTTCGTTAAACAGGATATCTTTCAGTGATTTCAGGCTAAACATATTTATTTCGTTAAAATTCATATTTGGTTTTTTGATTTTTTCGTATTTTACGAGAACGACAATTACAACATTGAATAATGACGATTAATAAGATCAAGATTTAAAGTTTTTTGAAATCCATTTTGTTCAAACGTTATTTCTCTCTCTTCTGTATTTATATAAAAAGATCGTGTTTCATATTTATTATTTCAATGTCAATTCAAGAATATTATAAGATTTTAGGTGTGAAGAGAACTTCGTCATTGGAGGATATTAAGAAAGCATATAGAAAGTTAGCCTTAAAGTATCATCCAGATAAGAATAAGTCTAGCTACGCGCAGGATAAATTTTGCAAGATAAAAGAGGCCTATGATCATCTCTTAAAAGTTAAATCGAGAAAAAAATCTAGAAAACCAAAAAGTAAAAAACAGACAACGACTCAACAAACAAAGCGATTACTAAGAAAAAAGAACGAATATTTCTCAAGAAATTTGAACAATTGTTGAAAGAATTCTTAAAGACTTTATTGTGATGCCCAAGATAAAGAAGGATAAAAATGAGATATTGACACGAAAGAAAGAGGAAGTGATTTGTAAAGCAAAGAGTCAAAAGGCTATAATGAAGGGACTATTCGCACTTGATCCTCTATGGGTGATTCATTTCTATGATAGTATAGAGAAGGTTTCCAGATTAAAATTTGAAAAAAAATACTGATGATAAGATAATCAGGAGAGTAAAGAATAAAGTAGAATCTTTAGTAGAGTCTGAAGGGGAGTCTACGGGAAAATCTGAGTCAGAATCTGAATTATCAAATGATGAGAAAAAACCTGAAGTTGAAGAAAAAAAGTTGAGCATTTACAATCTTTACGTTCAGAGGGAATACAATAAACTTGTAGAACAAGGTTATAAAAACGATAAAATATTGAAAAAAATAGCCGAGCAATGGAAGAATAGTTTTGAAAATCACAAAAATGTATAAATAGAAACGGTGTTTTGTTGTTTAATTTTAAATGGAAAATTTTGATGATTGTGAAAAGACTTATAAAGCAAAGCTTAAATTAGACGTGGTCATAAGTGCCTTGTTAATCATTTTTCTTACATTGTTAATAATATTCTTATCAATTTTCTTGTTCAATATTATAAAATCTGATTTTTCATATCTAAATATTTTATTGAAAGCTGGATTTTTACAAGTCATATCAATGATTAGGTTGATAATTTCCGAAGGTTTAAGAACGATTGACTCATACTTAATTAGTTAAAACTGGCACCGATTTCAAAGAAGAAAAAACCGAAAAAGTCAAAGAAAAATCAATTTTAAAAAGTTTGGTAAGACATAAACAACCTCCTGTTAAAAGAAAGACGGTTAAAACGGACGGCGGACCTTATTGTTCAGGTTGTGGAAAGAAGCGATAGATGGCTCCTGTTAGAAAGAAAAAAGCAGTTAAAACGATTAAGTGCGCTAAAGGTTCTTGTTCGGTGAAATCAATGAGAAAATCGGTTTCTTTATGTCGTATTGGTTATTGTGGGAACGTTGATAAATACAACGCTTGTCAAAAGAAGAGAACTATCGGTACAGAGATTGATGAAGGAAAATTTGGAGTTATTAAAGATCAGGGAAAGTGCTATTATTGAGATACTATATTCTCAAATGTTCTTACCTTCCCCCTTTTTCAAGGGCCTAAAACTGTTGATCATTTGATAATGTCTGATATCTCGATAGATCTTCAGAT